ATGCAATGCTTGGCATAAAGTCCACATTGGGCTGCAGTAATGTTGCCATCGTGGGACCAGTGAGCACAACCGCAAAGCTTGGAGAGGTTTAGGGTTAGAGGAGCAACTCAGCCCCTTGGAAGGGATGTTGGTGGGGTGGTTGTTTGAGGACGCTCACTTCCCCCCCAGTGTAGCAATAGTTTCATTCACAGGCACAAATGATTCTAGAACTTCCTTAGAGAAAAGGATTTTTCTGTTTTCTTGTCCTTTCCCTTGGTCAGCATAAGTGAGGACCATGAATGTAAAAACACAGGCCCATAGACTTAGGGGCCTATAGAGGGTCCTAGAAGGAAAAGTAAATGACCAAGAAAAATAGACTTGGTCATCTACAGTTTCACTTAAGAGGCAGTAATATAATATTAAAGTAAGCTTCACAGTTTTATTTGGAAATTTTAATCTGTTCATGTGAACTGTTAAGATACACTGACATAAAAGAAAAACCGCAGCTGAATGTTACAGATCTGCACATACAGTCTGGCTGGTGCAACGGCGTGAACTTTATTTCATTGTTGTTCTTGTTGTTCATTGTTGTTCTTGTTGTTCTGCACTACCACTGTTTTCACTTAAAATTTTATTTTTTAATTAGTTCATAATCAATATTATTTTGTATTAGTTTCATACCCACCTGGTACCATTTAGAATTCCTACAATATTATTGATATATCTCCCTTTCTGTCCACTACTATTGATGTTGAAGAGAAGATTGAAGGAGAGGATAAGCAGTGTTTAAAAAATAGTGAGGTGTATACAATTGGACGACATGAATTGGGAGCCATACAAATGTCTATACTCTAATGTAAAAATTTAGTCGGGGGTTAATTAACCTAAGAAATTCATTTAGAGCATGAAAAAAATCCATATATATAATATTCATTGCTATAACATTAGTAGGGATAAAATTTGGAAGCAATCTTGATGCCCTACAAGAATAAATTATTAAATTCCTATTTAAGAAACTATTGTGTACCTTTTAAATTGTTATGAAGATTATGTGGCGACATAGGAAATACTTAAAATATCATGCCTTATGAGCTAAAGATTACATCACCCGAGTGAAAAAGATGGAAAGGAAATATATCAAATGTTAACAGCTGTGTTTGGGTAATGGCATGATGGTACTTTTTTTCTCATTTTTGCTCATGATTATTATAATTAGTTTCCAATTTTATAAATTGGAAAACCAAGTAAAAGCAACCAGATGAAAAAGCTAATAGTATTTAAGGCCAGAAAGAATAAGATGAGGTTATTTTAAAGCTAGCTGTCCTCATAGCTTCAGGAGGCATTTCACATGAGACAAAATCACAAACAGTTACTGCAATTTGTGGGGCCTATGCATTTATTCGGAGTTGTTGGGGTGGTTGGAAAGACAGTGGAATAATAGCCTGAGAAACTAGACCCTCCCTCCCCCAGCTGCCAGCTCTTCAACCTAGGGCTTCATGAACCAATTTCTGCCCAGAGTGTGGCCTTTCCTGGTGACTGCCTCCCACAGGCCATTGTGATGGTGATGGCTGGGATGTGTGGCCTGGCCGCCTCACAGCTCCCAGGGGATCAGGCGGTTAACGGAGGAGCCTGCAGCCAGCTCGGCTTGGGGTCGCTGGTCATCAGAGACACAGCAGCCTGTGCGGTGTTGACCCAGGGTGACTGGTCCCCTTTCTCATACCCACTCCCCAGAGGCAACAGTCCTTCACTAGTGTACAGTTTCTAAACCAAACAACCATTAATCTTTCTCCGGGTTAAAAGGCCAGAAAAGCAATTTTTACTCTCTTTCTCTTTCTATATATATTTAGATACTGTACCTGTCTGTATTTTACAAGAGCAGACTGACTTCATTAACCACTGTCAATGGGGCCAAACACCCCACAGCTGTGTCCGCAGCTACGCAGACAATGCTGAGCCCAACACAGCAGTCTGCACGCACGGGGAAGGAGCGGGAGTGCAGAACCAGTCAACTATTTACTGTGGCACTTGACAATAACTGTGCAAACACGACTTACTTGAAATAAATTAATATTATGTATTTATTGTATCATGGAATAAACTAGGGATGTGCATATATTTTAAGTGAAAATGTCACCAAAGAGGATAGTTTTAAGAAAGTAGCATTTCACAAACTTTTGAATACTGTTCTTTAATATTCCTCCCCTTACTTAGCAAGTAAATTAATCCATATAAATGGAGCTGTGAGTCCGAAGGCCTTTTTGATTTTTAAATCAATAGAAAAAAATAAGATTTGATTTAGAAAAATGCACTCGATTGTCTCAGAAACATCAAAGTGTTTGGTTTATGGAAATGGGCCTAATCTCCTATTTCACACTCTTTTAATAGCTGGTACATCAAGAAACATTTTTCTATATTCTTAAATTGTGAGGACCAAAAATGATGGGTATTAAGATTAAAAACCTGAAGGCTTCCTAAAGCTGTTTCTCCATGATTGACCTTTAAATCCTTCCTCCAGCGTCATCATCAGTATGAACAGCAAACACTGCTCCTGGTGAGTCACATTTAGACATCTGGCTCCTGATATAAAGGCACCAGACATTTAAGAGAGATAGAGAATGCATTTTTATAGCTCAAATTATTTTATATTAAAGTTCTCATACTCAAAATCTTGCATTAAGGACGAGGAAAAATGTAAAACGCTAGTCATAGCATTTTCAAGTGGAAGAGGCCTGGGTTGAATAGTGACTCAGACACACCAAGGGACTAAAGGAGAATTCAGGGCCCTTGGCTCCTCATCCAATGTTGTTCTCAGGGTGCACGTCACCTTGCAGAATATATTACAAAAGTTCTGATGCTTCCCTGGGTTTTTTTTGTTGGTGGGGGGGAGCAACACCTTTATGTTTCTCCTATGCCAAATGTATTTTGAGACATTCATTAACAATTTTTACTAAAGTCCTCTAAAGAATCTCAGAATGACAGAGAATTTAACTGTTCTCTGTGTCATTCATGAAGCTTCTGCCCTTGGAATCCATGATAAAAAAAAAAACTGGAGGGAGGAAGGGGGTGTGGAGGATGGAGGGGAATGAAGGGGGGAAATAGAACAACTGTAATGGCATAATTAATAAAATATATTAAAAAATAAAATAAAATGATTCCCTTTAGAAAACCTAAAAAAAAAAACTGGAGGGAATTTTAACTAGATATTTAGGTATGCAAGGTACAACTGGAATTCTGTTGGTGCTATTTTAGACTTTCCTTTGGGGCACTTGGTATAATGAATTTGTATGTATAGTAGGAGTTATAACTATGCAATTGCTAAGTAAAAATATATGCATATGTACCACATCTTTATCCATTCACCTATCAATGAACACTGAGGAGTTTTCACATCCTGACTATTGTAAATAATCCTGCAATGAACACGGGGGTGCACATATCTTTTTTAATTAGAAAACACTAACATTTTACATGAGAATTCCCTCTTTGGAAAAATATTTCTCGTGCTCAGAGTAAATTAATTCAAAAGCAAGCAGTTTTGTAGTTTACACTCCTCAGTCCTGCCAGGGGAACTGAGGAGCAGGATGGTCTGCCTCCTTGTTATTCCTGACCTGCAGACACTTCTACGGCTCATTTTCCTTACAAAGGTTTCCACAGTGAGATCTGTCTGCTCAGGTTTTGGAGGCTAGATCTCAGTGTGCTTGTGGAATTATTCATGTTTTAAGTTGAATTAAAGTTTTAATCAAATAAGTAATGTATATTTAATTACATCAGGGTTTTAAAAAACGGATGAGTAGGGCATTGCTGTGCCATTCAACCTTCCCAGGCCCACTTCACCTTTATGAAGATTTTTATTTCTTTGAAATTCTGAAAATAACATTTAAATAATGTGTATTGTGGGGTTTCTCTAATTGCAAACATAAAATATGTTCAGTATCAAAAACTGGTAATACAAGGATAAACACAAAAGAAAATATTTGTTCACATTATACCATCCAAAAGATAGCCACTGTTAAAAATTTGGTATATGTCCTTTAAGTAATTTTGTATGCATCTATATATATTGTATAAATAATGATATATGAGTACGATGGAATACTGAGTCATAAGAAAAGATGAAATATTGCCATTGGAGACAACGTGGATGGATCTTGAAGGTATTACGCTAAAGTAAGTGAAACAAGTCAGATGGAAAAGGACAAAAACCATATGATTTCACTCATACGCAGAATGCAAAACAAAAAAGAAACAAATAAGCAAACAAAACAAAACTCAGAGATACAGAGATACAGACTACAGATTGGTGGTTACCAGAGGGGGAAAGGGGTGGGGAAAGGGCAAAATACTTAAAGGAGGTCAAATGTATGGTGACAGATGGAGACTAGACCACAGGTGCTGAGCATGCCAAACTGTACACACATATCTAATTGTTATGTTGTACACGTGAAATTTATATGTTAACCAATGTTACCTCAATTCAAAGAAAAAGTGTTTTTTGCAAAAGAACAATTTGTTTGCCAGAGGATAGGTCTCTAATATTAAACCCCTTTCTATTTGTTTTTAACTTTTAGATGTGTTACTAGTATTTTTATAAAATATGATACATCTGACCTAAAACTGTAAAGTGATATTTTTATTTTCTTCCCCCTTTCAGATGAGAAGATCTATGCTATTGTAACAAATCCAAACAACATAAATGTTCTTAAAATAAAAAGTGAAAGTATGAAATATAAAGTGAATATTTTAATTCTCTCTGTCCTAAATTCCATTTCTGCAGTGATAACTTTTAATATTTTGGTTGTATCCTTCTTTTCTATGTAATATAGACATATATTTATTTATAATTAAAAACACAAAAATCAGACTATAATAATATATAATTGTTCTGCAACTTACTTTTTTCCAACTTAGCACTATATCGCAAACATATTTCCAGTAGTTTTACTCATTCTTATTAATAGCATGATGGTATTCCATTATTTAATATACTGTAATTTATTTATCAATATATTATTAATGAATACTTAGGTTCTTTCAAATTTTATTAGAAAAAGTGCTGCCAGAAACATCCTTGCTGTATTTCTTTACACATTCATGAGAGTACTTTTATAGTATAAATTTTTAGACATGGATTACTGGGCAAAAATGTGCATTAATAACTTCTGATAGACACTGAGTTTTTACCCAGTTGATACATGAAGCAGGGGTGGTCTGCAGAGTGTAGGGCAGGAACACAAACCAGGGTCCAACACTTGGGGCATTTTTCTAGCCTATATTATGGAAATAGCTTGACCTCATGCATCTTGGAGTCTTCTGCAGGATAAATTCATTATCACGTTCAAACTGGTAACAGATAAGTTATGTATGGAGATGAGAAGACAAAACTCTGGCTAGACCAACTTTTCAGTTCAGAACTATGAGAGCTGATGCTAATTCTTTAGGTGAAAATAAAAATTAATACAGTTTCATTGAAGCTTCAAACAGGGCAGACAGATCCTCTTCTGACTGAGGGCGTGGTGCAAGCTTGGTAACCCTTTCCTGAAACATTAAACAAAAGGAGTTACTCGAAAAGACAGTTTGTAAAAGGTACTAGGTTATGCAAATGCACTTGGGCATAAGAAACAATGACTTCAGAATAGTTGTATCTTTAAAAATCATATTTCTTGTTTGCTTCATACTAGCTGATTTGCAACTTAGAAGCTTATCAAAGTGATGCCTCTTTCACAAAAAGCTTTCTTTTTTTAAATTTCATTTTTAAATTGTAGTTTACATTCAATAGTATTTTGTATTAGTTTTAAGTGTACAGCATAGTGGTTAGACAATCATATACTTTACAAAGTGATCCCCCAAATATTTCAAGTATTCACCTGACACCATACACAGTTATAACACTATTATTGACTAAATTCCCTAATCTGTATGGCTTTCAAAAGCCTATGCCTTGCCTTCTGCTCTGGCAATAGCCTTCTGCCCAAATGTACAGAACCAAACCAACCTTGGGAAAAACAGCTCCTATAATGACCAAATAGCATTGGTCAGCAACCTGAGCCAGTTTTTTGTGTGCAGAGAGCCCTGTCCCAGGCACAGCATGTGCAGCCAAAGGACATAGAACCAGCTGTCCCTGACTTCAAAGACTGTGTATTTTGCAACTTGGACTTCAGGTAGATTCAAAAGAATTTCACTGAGACATAACTTTCAGGCTACAGGTGACAAGGGGCTCCTTTTACAATATTAACTAAGGTTTTATCTTTACCTTCCCAAACACATCCGGGGACTTGCTTAATTTTCTAATGATTGCTAAGTCAAGTTAGCAAAGCTAGCCAGCACATGCTTCTGCTATTTAAACTCCTGTATAATCCCCTGTCCCAGTGGCTTCTTGATGCCTCTGGGACAAGGGATGAAAAGATACTATAATGACTATGTCCAAATTTCTGGGCCTAAATAAAATTAAGAAATGTAGCAGCTTGGGGGGGTCCCATTTTCATGCGTCTCTCAGTCTGTTTTCTTGTGATTGGCGCTTGTTTGGAAGCAACTGGTGGAAGAGGGAAGCCCCGTGAGGGCAGGGCTCTGTTCCCTCCACGTGCGGCACCTCCCAGAGTGCTCAGCACACAAAGGGGTCCTCAGCAGTTATTTGTTGAATTAATGAAGATGGTGGGAGCAGGGATACTGGCATGTCAAAATTCACACATTTTCATTATCTCAGAAATGACACCCAGTCACTAAGGCAAAAACCTAGCAGTCACCTCTGATTCCTCTTTCCCTTTCTCTACATGTTAAATCCATCAAAGTCTGTCAGACCAACCACAAACATGAACCCCAGATCTGACTGCTTCCACTTCCCATTCCACCAGAATCCAAATCTAAGTCCCCTTCAGTCCTCTGTTCTCCTTGAAAGGCCTCTTAAATTCACAACTATCATCAACTGAATCTAAAAACAAAACAAAAAAAAAAGTGAAGCAAATAACTAGAACAGGAACAGAATCACAGAAATGGAGATCACATGGAGGGTTATCAGTGGGGAGGGGGTGGGGACAGAATGGAGAAAAAGGTACAGAGAACAAGAAGCATAAATGATAGGTACAAAATAGACAGGGGAGGTTAAGAATAGTATGGGAATTAGAGAAGCCAAAGAACTTATATGTACAACCCATGACATGAACTAAGTGGCAGGGAATGCTGAAGAAATTCCAGGTAGAAGGGAATAATGGGGAGAGAAAAGAATGGGACAACTGTAATAGCATAATAATAAAATATACTTAAAAGACAAAGTATTTAACAAGTGTTAGATGTTGAAAAACTGGAGCCCTAGTGCACTGTTGGTGGGAAAGTAAAATGGTGCAGCTGCTGTGGAAAATAGTTTGGCAGTTTCTTAAAAAGTTAACATAGAATTACCATGTGATCCAACATTTCTATTCCTAGCAGACCAAAATAAATTGCAATTAGGGAGTAAAACAGATGCTTTTAAACCAATGTTCTTAGCAGCATTATATGCAATAGCCAATAGGTGGAATCAACCCAGGAGGCTATCTGCAAGTAAATGAATAGGCAAAATATGGTATAGCCACACAAAGGAATATTAGTCAGCCATAAAAAGGAATGGAATTCTAAAACACTGAAGACATTATGCTAAGTGAAGTAGGGCAAAAACAATAAGGCAAATATTGTATAAGTCCATTTATAGGAAGTACCTAGCACAGGCAAATTCATAAAGACAGAAAGTAAAATAGAGGTTACCAGGGGCTGGGGAGAGGGGAGAAAGGGGACAATGGTCATGTTATTTGCCATTAAACAATAGAGCAGAGCTTCTATTTGGGATGATTAGACAATTCTGGAAATGGACAGTGGTGATGGTTGCATAAGATAATTAATGGCATTAAATTAGTTAAATGGCATTAATTTTGGTTAAAATAGTTGATTTTGTTAGGTATATTTTTTACCATAATTAAAAACATAAACCTTGCACTGGCTGGAGTGGCTCAGTTCGAAGGTTCGATTCCTGGTCAGGGCCCCTGGCTGGGGCCCCAGCTGGGGATGTGCAAGAGGCAACCAATCCATGTTTCTCTTGTGCATCACTGACGTTTCTCTCCCTCACTTTCTCCCTCCCTTTCCCTCTCTCTAAAAATAAATAAATAAAATCTTTCAAAAAATAAAGAAAATAAATCTTAAGAAAAGAAGAATGGATGGACAGATGGCAGGAGAGGGAACAACATTGACAAGTATGGGTAAAACCGAGGTACAATCGTACACCCCAGCGGAGCTTTTAGAAACTAAGGAATGTTGAAAATCCACAGCAAGGCAGACACTTGTTCACAGTGACCGTTCACAGTGACCTATGTATACCTTTGTGGCAGGGACAAGAACTGAAGTTCAGCATTTGCTATGGCCAAAGATTGCTGTCCCATTATTCTCTTATAAAGAACTCTTGCCGAATGAGCAAAGGGCCCTTAAAATGATACAGTTCATCCTTGGTGAAGTAGTTCAAGACTCTCAGAAGTACTTCAGGCCAAGCTGAACTGAGTTTCTCTTTTAGATTTCTAACCTCCAATGACTGGTTCAACAGGGGCAAGGATGTAAAGTTTGTGATATATCCTCATGTCATCAATGCCAATAAAAGCTAAACTATTAAAATTAAGATGTGTTCTGCAGTGTGCTATTATTTATAAATATGTAACACCAAAAGACAACTGATTAACACGGGCACTGAAATAAATCCAGACTACTGCTTTCAGCACATTCATAAAATAACATTTCAGCTGGTCTGCCTGCCAGGGAGTGGAAGTACTCATTTTGGTAGACAGCTCTCCTCAGTAATGAAATGTTTTGATTTGAAATGTAAATGTTTCTTTCCAGAGGTTTCAGAAATCCAGCTGTGAAGATTAATTTATTCTCGCCCACTCCCCTTGCAGCCTGGCTACGGCCGTTGGAAGCCTCTGCACACAGGACTGCTATTTGCCGCTGCCAGTATGAGCCGGGTGTTTGGTCAAGAATACTGGCCTGGTTGTTCCTTCCAGAGAAAACCAATCCCTCCTCTCTGAACATAAAAGAAGCTTTATCAGATGTTGACTATATGAAATAACCTTTTTTTTTTTTGTAGGAGTAAGTAGATCCCCTTCACTACCTAAATCCTGCAGATACTAATAAGTGAAGATTAGTGTGCTGTATGTGTAAGTTCTAAAGTTGCTAGAGCACTCCTGTGAAATTTTTACTGCTGCCCAACAAAGAAACCCCATAGTTTTTCATTAGTCAGGCAAGCTTATTTCTAGGATTCCTTCTAAGGTCCTTCTAAGGTAGATTCCTCTATGAATATACCTCTCTTTTTATCTACATGTGTATCTATATATCTGTATGTCTATCTATATCTCTCTCTCTGTCTATATCATATATATGACACTGACTCCAAATGTGACAGTTAATTCAAAATAACTGTGTTTCTAACATAATCAAAAGAAAAAAAGGCAGCATACCTGTTGGGACAGCCTGAGGGAGTTCTACTTTATAAACATAACTGGTATTCCAAAGATTCAATCTATCTTGCATCTTTTGTGAAACAAAGAAATTAGTTTTGTCTGATTAAGGTTTTGCTATCTGTATTTCCCAGTATGACATGTACGCTGTGGTATTCAGAATGATACCTACTCAACTTGCTATTTTAGTGGATGGTCTCAAGTGTTAATCTGGAACAGCTTCTGAAAGTAGAAGTCTGGGCACAGCAGAATTAAAACAGTAAACACTTGTCAATGTGCCCTGATGGCTGGAAGATGCATTACTGCCAGCAATTCTGGCCAAAAAAATCATACAGTTTCATCTGAAAATCATGGATACCATTCATAGAGGTTGACAAACACATATTCCTGAACACTTCCCTGGGCTATAGAAGCAGAACTTTTCGGAGGACCCATTGCAGAATGACATTATAATTAGGACCATACTATAAGAGCCAGAGTTACATCAAAATTGTGATGACCGTTTGGTCTCTGCTATCCCTGGACAGGCTTTTATGGCTCCTTGTCATTGGTTGAATCCTATTAAATCTAAGAAAACTTCTCAAAAAGTTACCACCATTCCTCCATTAAGCTCACCTAGATAGAAGGTTTAGGAGGGGAGGGCTACAGGTGTGTGTTCATTTCACATGTTTACTAGCCCGTGCTAGATGCAATAGAGGATGGATGACCAAAAGAGACAGGTTTTAGCCTTCATGGAATTTACAGTCTAGTAGATTTGGATGGAAAAACTGGGATGGTCATGTTTTTTGGTCATTTAGTCCCTGGGACTTGTGGGTTAGGACCTAGAGTTTCTGAGTTGGCCTAGGAGCTTTGCTACACTTTCAGACTCCTCTTTTTCTCATTCATTTATATTTTTAGATGCAATAGAGTCCACTTAGACTGATTCTCAGTCTAAATCAGGAAAACTTATGAGCCATGGGCCATGTTTGGTTTGTACATTGGGAAATGAGGGAATTCAACACAAATACTCAGATTGTGGATTTTGCTTAAAAACGGAAAGTTCTACCAACACTAGGATCTAAATTTCTACTTGAAAATAAATTTTAGCTGAAAAGAGGCTTACCCAGTGAAATAAGCCATGTGATTTCCAGTTCACCAAAGTCCCCACTACTCGCTACTGCCTTAAATTACTTTGTTCATTGCTATTACTGGCCTGGCTCCTGTGGACAGGAGTAAACCCAAACAAATATTATCTTATCTGAGCTGAGGTCTTCAACATTCTAAGCATTTGCTAAGCAAGGATAAAGCTAGTGTGAAGCCCTTGCTTAACTGAGCAGGATGCTGTGTGAGTGGATATTCCAGCTGTTAACTCTGTTCAAAATTCAGGGGTAGATGTGTGAATACCTTTGGTCAGAGATGCCTTATCTTCATGTCCTCATAATGTTTAAGTGGCCTTGTCTTTCCCATTCTGGACAGAAGGACTAAGTGAGCACTCAGCATGTGAGCACTCAGTTCCACAAACTGAGCACTCACAGCTCTGGCTCTCTATTTTAAGGTTTTGACCTGTTAGGATCTGATGCTATAGCACCAGGGTACCTGATCCTACACGGAAGAGATGTCCGATGGGGAACAAACTCTCTTCATGAGAACCGCCAGAGGGGAAACTCTATATCTATTATGATTCCTCTACCAAATACAGAGTGGCAGCTCAGTTTAAGTTCTTTAGCAACATGTAGCCCTGGCTGGTGTGGGTCAGTGGACTGAGTGCCAGCATGCGGATCAAAGGGTCACCAGTTCAGTTCCCAGTCAGGGCGCATGCTTGGGTTGCAGGCCAGTTATCTATTTGGAGGGTGTGCAAGAGGATACCACACAGTGATGTTTCTCTCCCTCTCTCCCTCCCTCCCCTCCCCTTTCTCTAAAAGTAAATAAATAAAATACTAAAAGAAACAAAAAATGAATTCTTTAGCAACATTGAAATAAGTGAAATAAGACCCAAAGTGACACAGATATGTACGTTATATATTTCATATTTATATGTATAAAATATATAATTTCCCAAATATATTAAAAAGTGATTTTGTGGTAGTTATAAAGACCATGTCTATTCTTCACAAAATTGTAGGAATCTGTAATTCTTTGTGAGGGAAAACAGTATTAGTGGCTCTTTTGTAGCAGCTTCATATAGTTTTATAGGGAAGTACAAAAAGAGGAGACATGGAGAAAAGAGAAATTTCGCCATACCTCAATATAAATATGGTTGTTTTTGCCTTGAATTTTTATAAAGGCTCCTTTCAGTTACATCATAAAAGTTTCACACATGCCACAGTTTTATGGAGGAATATAAAGGTGAGGGAGCTGTGGCCCCATCCCCCTGGGGAAGGGGGGGATCTGCCCTCTGGTGTAGAGGAGACCTGAGAGCCACAGGAGGACCCTGGGTTTGCAGCTCCCGCATCAAGCACCAAGTGGGCAACGCCTTTCCTGCAGCTTCTAGAAGGGAGTGAGGATGCACTGCGTCTCTTACCTGGGGCAGCGTTCCTTTTACTAATGCAGGGATATCAACCTTGGAGTAACCAATGGCAGCTAGGCCATCATCCACATCCAGATCGAATAAGAGTTTCCGGAGTGTGTCGGCTAAAACAAGCCCAGCATCTGCGATCCTGGCAGTGCGGGTGTCAGCTCCTGGAAGACACAAAGCGCTGACTGTAGACGGAGGAGGAAGCTGGCCCTACGTGTAATTCAGTCCCATGATAGCTGATATATAACCTACTGCTGGCTCCCCTCACACAGAGCACAAGGGCACCAATGTGTCTCCACCTGGAGGCTGGCCCAGCAGGCAGTCCCACAGAAGACAGATGGGCCAGGCCAGTGCAGAGAAGTCGCTGGGGCGGCTAACCTGGCTCTCACCTTTCCAAAGGGCTGCTCACCCTTTGTGGGGTGGGACGACAAGGAACAGAGCCAAGAAGAGGCACAGGAAAGAGACCAAGAAAGAAGGCTGGTGTTTGGATGAGGAAGAGGGGGAATTGGTAGAAGAAAACACAGCTTATGTAACTTTCAAGGCTTGCAATTTGCTGACATCTAGAGGTTTTACATGTTCAATGTCTTTTTCTCACAAGCAACATTGAAGGAAAAGACAAACCCTTTGCAAAAATACTTTGTGAGACAAGGATATATGTAAGTACAAAAACTTCAACACTAACTGCTAAAAAAAGGAAGAAAATGACACAAATGGATTATGTGTAACTAGGGAAGGAAGCATTTCCTCTCTATAACTATAAAAGTTTTTATTTTGGACTTTGTTACCAAGGGGCAAAGCAGGTTCCTCTAAATGAATACTACAGAACTAGTCAGACAGAACCAAGAACGTGGAGACTCCCAGAAAACAGATTTTAATATGTAGATAATGACATTGGTGAAAGGAGAGAAGGTTGCCAAGGGTTGGAGATTTGAAGGACAGAATTTTAGACATGATTAATGATTAACACACAAAATTATAGAGATATCAACCTGGAAGAGCCAGGTTCCACCCTCAGGAAAGGTGGCAGGGAAGATTCCCAGATGAAGGGAACTGATCCCGAAACCTTGGCACCCCTGACCCCACCTATCCTAGTTGAATGCATTCGCTGCCCGAAAGTGGAGCAATTTACAAGTGGAATGTAGCGTTAGTTATCACCCCCAAAGCCTCTGCTGCCATCCAAGTCTACTTTTTCCGTATTGTTCGAAAGGAGACTAGAATGTACAGTTCACCTCCACACTGACGCACATTATAAAATTGGTTTTAACCTCTTGGTCTTCTAGGACAGTGGGAACTGTTTTAGTAATCCAGGAAAGGATAAACTGAACCAGATACAGGGCTGGCTGGTGGAGCAGCTGGAGCGAGCATAAACCTTGCCTGACAAGACCAGTCTAAGTTATGCAGCACAGCTAAAACATGGAGTAGGTGGAGATACAACACACGATACGAGTGTTACAAGATTTTTATTTTCTTGGGTTGCTGCCATAAAACACACCATCAAAACGTCTGGGGTTTCCTATGAAGTGTTGTAGAGAAAAGGGGAGAGTAAAGAAAGAGAATATACTGGTATAAAGCTATAAAAATATAAGATTACTTAGGGAATCAAAATATTAATGGCTAAGTGTAGAATTAATATTAAACAAAATTTCTGATGTAAGAAGAATTGGTGGATTCTTCTTGCCTGGGTTTTGTCTAACAGAGAAATTGCTTTTTTTTTTCAGTAATTTTGTTGGTTGTCTGGAAGGTAGCTGTAAGTTCTCTCAGATTTTCCTATTTATCATCCATTTAGCCTACTATATGGGCTCCTAGTCAGGAGCCCATACATGGTTTTACATACATGGTTTGCATATTAGCAAAGGCATCTGAGTCCCAACAAATGGGTGAACAATGTCCCTAGTCCCAAAGGGAAAAGGAACAGATGATCCTTAGTAAAGTGGGACCACATTTCTGACAGCATTTGCTGGAAAACCAGGTCCTCAGCAGCGTTCCTCTGCCCCCGACTTCTTTTGTGACATTCCTGGCCCAGCACTGGAACTCAACAAAAAGCACAAAGGTCAGCATGTCAGAGAGAAGCTAGAGTGAAGCGGCCCCGCAGAAGGACGTCTGTGTGGTCATTCCTACCTTCTCAGAAATCCCTCTCCAACAGCTGGTGCTAGGGGAGCATGATAAGTTTCCTTTTTAGCCTTTCCCTTCCTACCCTAAATACAAGTAGAGGAATAAAATGTCTGGAAAGTTAAGAAAAAATACTCATCTACTTAGAAGAGTTCTTGTTTTAGAAAAATACCAAAATTTTACTTACGTAAGCTATCCTGAATATATTTTATTTCTCGTTAGCATCTTATTATAGGCATTACTTATTCTACAGAGCAGCAAGATATTCTTCTTTGGTGATCTTTTTAGAAGCTTTCCAATTGTTTAGACTCTCTACAGTTGGGAATTAAATTAATTTCATTACCTATTAAACATACTAAAAGCCATTTATAACATTTTGCAGTATGTACAGAGTTTCATTTCCTTGGAGATAAAAAGTAGAAATAGGATTATTCTAAACTTAAGCAATATTTGGTTCCATTTCATTGGTAACAAGCTATTAGATACTCAAACTTAAAGAATTTTAGTGCTAGATGGGACCTGGAGCAGGTCAGTGACAAGTTATTATTAAACTATCTCAAAGCAAGATTTTTTTTAGTATTACTTTTTATGGTTTATCTTCAGAAGCAACCCCAGGAAATGCTCCCCCTATGTGGGTCAGAGAATTATGAGCAATGGTTCATACCCAATATTTCTGCGGTCTCCAGGTGCCGCTCAGGAAACATCTGTGCTGTGAAAGTGAACACGGCTGGGGAGGTCAGCACCACAGACAGGCCATGAGGCTGCAGAGAAAGAGAACAGGGGACCGATTGGGCAAGCTGGTTTTCCCTCTGCATGTTAGATATTAAATTACTTTACCCTGTACTCCAAGCAATCAAGAATCGACAAAAAATATTTATAGCAATTACAAGGAATGTAAGGTTTAATTAAAGAAATTATGATGATTTTACCACCAATGGGTGATCCACATTATAATCTTTTGCTTTATATGTCTTCACTAAGCCTGAAATTGGGTAAGACATTCCATGGCTAGAAAAAAAAGAAAGTCTTTATGTTGACATGCAGATATCAGAAATTCAAGTCAAAGCAAAGATCTCTTATGGGAGAGCCCTTCACAGTCTCCTAAGTTATACATTCTGTTTTCTTTGCTATAATGATGTATTGTTATACACTTGATATTTGGTGTTATTCATAACAAAAGCTCTGAAATGTTTAAATTCAAATGCTCATAAAATTATATGCCAATAAAATGTGTTGATGCAGAAGATTCTCTCCAAATATATTAGTTAACTTTATAATCTTGAAGAAATTGAGAATTCACTTTGAAGTTTCTTTAATAAGTTTCAGGGCATGCGTTTTCTGTCTTGCTCTGCAATACTTTGGCAGTGCGCTCCTGCACAAGCTGACCGTGCTGGTGGGAGTTTTATGAAGCAAGATGGGCTGCATCGGACATGCAAGCTTAACCTGCCAGTCATATGTACCACCAATAATTGATACAGCCTTCTGAATGTTACATATTAATGGAGTCGAATCATAAACGATTATTCTAGCCTGAAAGACTTTCAAGAAATAGCTTTTCATTTGTGGGAGTCTGGGGAGAGGGTGAAATTTGCTTTGCTGGAAAACCTTTTTATATCCTCTTGAATTCCTAATGAATAAATAGGATAACATTATAGTTGAACAGATGACTCAAAATATAGATTGTGAGAAGTTAATAAAATTACAATTAATATATTAAAAATAAAATGTTTTATAATAGTCTGTAAGTCAATTAATATGGGTTATTGGACAGCTTTGCACTTATGTACCAAAAGATTTATATTTCACAGAAAATGAAATTTTTGGTGAACTATATAATTATCTATTCCCCTCAAAAAAGGTTACCTTTGCCTATCATCTTTCATGAGGCAGATCAGAAGCTATGGGTCCTTTGATTTGCTGGGTATTTTGCAGTGTGTTTTACTTTTCTCAGGCTCCAGAGTATTCAGAAAATTATTGTTGAGTGTGTTTTCATGATATGAAAGGGTTCATGCAGATTTCAAAGGGACCTTTCCAATGATAGCCAATATTTTAGTTTGTTTCTTTCACTTTGTTATATACATTCTTTGTAAAAACATTAATATAATCCACAATCCTATTTCCTCAAAATAACTGTTATAGAATTATTCCCTCCTCATATTCATATGTATATCTTTAATATATGATCCTACTATGCACTCAGTTTTAAACAATGATTTTGTTACTTAATATTCTTTATAACATTTTCCCATCTTTTTATATTCTTCTAAAATATTATTTTAAAATGTTATTATTATTTTGATTTAGAGAGAGGGGAAGGAAGGGTTGGAGAGAGGGGGAGAAACATTGGTGTGACAGAGTAACATCCATCAGTTACTTTCTGTGTGTGTCCCGACACGGGACGGAACCTCCACCCCAGGCATGTGCCCCAACCAGAAATAACCAGTGACCTTTTGGGTTGCAGGACAATGCCTAATCAAATCACACCAGCTGTGGCCTAAAAAATTATTTTTAATAGCCTTATTTTATTCTTTAAGTACTGCTCTTTAGTTAACCATTCCCAAACTGTAGGAAATTCAGGGTGTTCCTAAATTTTTCAGTTATAAATAACACTTAGGTGATTATCCTTATAAGAAAACACTTTGGTCATATGATTATTATTATTTTTTTGTAAGATACATTTCTAGAAGTATTATTAGTGGGACAAAGGGTAAACACATTTTTCACACTTTGGCAGATCTTGTTCACTTGCTTTTTGGGAAGAGTGATAATCTGTGCACTTCTAAGCAGCAGAGTTTGGGGTGACCAATTATTTTATTGTTGCCTCCTTAGCAAAGGCCTATTCTCAATCCTCAGTGTTCACTGGTATCAATTTTTAAGGCAATATACTAAAGTTCTGATTAAGCAGGTTAATTCTGGGCTAATGGCAAAGATTCTGATCTCTCTTTTTGTGAGAGATTAGAAGAAAATATCTAGATTTTGTGGATTTTAAAAATTCACAACATGTAGCAAGGATGTGGGGAAATCAGAGCCCTCAGCCCCTGCTGGTGAGGATACAGAATGATGCAGCTGCTATGAAAAAACAGCCTGGAAGTTCCTCAAATTTAAATGTAAAATGACCAGAAATTCCGCTCTCTGGTATATAAATCAAGTGAAAACATATGTCTATACAAAAATTTGTACATGAACGTTCATAGCAGTGTTATTCACAATAGCCAAAAAGTGGAAACAACTGAATTGTCCATCAACTGGTGAATGAATAAATAAAATGTGTTATAACCACACAATGGAATGTTACTTGGCAATTAGTTGTACTCAACTAATACATGCATGAATGAACCATGGAACCACTACGCTCAGTTACAGAGGCCAGACACAAAAGGCCAGATATTATATGATCCTATTTGCGTAAAATGTCCAGAATGGACAAATTTATAGATAGAAGGTAGATTAATAGTTGCTTAAGGCTGGGGATATAGGAGGATTGGGAGGTGGCAGCTAAGGGGTACAGAATTTTTCTTTTGGGTGATAAAATGTTATAAAATTGATTGTGGTAATGGTAACTTTATGACTATATTATAAACCCCTGAATTGTACATTTTAAATAGGTGAATTATATAGTATGTAAATTATATGTCAATAAAATTGTTACTAAAAAACCCTATAACCCAATAAACTACATTTGTATTAAGAAAATATTCCAGGATGCTAAGTTAAATTATCTTCTGTCTATAACATGCTGAAATCTTAACACCTGTCCTAAGTTATAAACATTACAAAAGTTGAAAAGCCATAGCTTAGGTGAAGACATAAAATCTTAAATTTGCTCACCACAGATGAACACCAGCATTTCCAAAGCCAATGCCAGCAAAAGCACTTGCCAAGTGCATGTTGGACCTTGCTTCTAGATCATCAGGATTTCTGACAGCCCTGTGGATGATATAAAGACCTAACAATAACACATCAACATTGGCATTTCCTACTGAATAAAGAGCTGCCTTAGGGAAAAATCTGGAAAAAAAAGAAATGCTATTTGGTAGGAAGAAAAATTAGGCAACTTATTCAAACGACATCTTGTCTTCTAAAGGAAAACTGAGGGTAAACATTTTCTCATCAATGGTTTCAGCAGAGGCATAATAAATACGCTGTCAGGCTGCTCATGGGATAAAAGTGCCAGAGGAAGCGGAGCACTGACCCTTGGATTGTGAGAGCTGCTCTAGCAAAGTGCCCTGAGACTCATTCTTCTTCTTCATTTGTCAATGACCTTGACTGCAGCTGTGAATAGCCTTAGAGTAAACATACACTCGGAATGCACAGGGCCCAGACTGGTTTACTGGAGTGAGTCCCTGTCGCCTGGGGCTACCTGCAGGCTACACACAGCCTGCCCAGCCATCTTTCTTTTTGTGACACTGCCCCAGTCGGACCCACTGGAGGCTTCTTATGTTATCTGTGGAAACTGCACATGTTATTTTAATCTTTATTATTGTGGAAGTGGGATGTTATTGTAGGACCAGCTTTTGCTTGCTCTATTTGTCCCCAGTGCCACTTTGGAAAAGCAAATCCTCAAAGGCCCCTTTCAGAAGCGGCTCAGCCTTCCTGCACACACTGTGTGGAAAGCCACCCTAGGGAGAAAGCCTGAGACTGGCAAGCACACCACTTCTCACTTGCTTGCGATTTGCCTGGAGTTAAGGGTTCCTGTTATGAAATAAGAGTGCCCTGGCCTTTTCCCCCTTTCATTTGAAATGGCTGAGTGTTTGAGTCTCCTTTCCAAAACCCGGGGTTTGCTCTGTGTTCCCCAAATAACAAGATGAAAGAGTTGATGACAGAGTTTCAGCCTTTCCTCTGTCCAGTGCTACTCTGCCAAACCTTCTGCTCCTGCCAGAACACACTGGCTGACAGTTATCTGTATCCGCTTCTACCAAATCAGATGCTCCCGTGCTTCCCAGGGGTCCCTACAAGTCTGAAATAGTTTGGTGTCCCTTCCCCTGGCTCTGCCACAAATGCAGTCTAGTCTCCTCTTCATGGTAGCTTCTAGCTCTGGGCCAGAGGAGGCACCATGCTCATGTCGCAGCCTAACTTGCCATGTTCTTTCCCTCCTCCGTGTATAAATACAGAAGTGAGTCCGACTTTGTGGATGTCTTCATGTCTCAGGGATCAACTTTCACCTCTAAGTATATATTTGCTCACCCAGGGGCCTATTATGGTTATGTCATTCATAAATCTTGCATAACCTTTTAGGAAGCCTTTTATATCTCCTGGGACAGACAACTCCACACATTTAATTCTTAAATACATCTCATCTGAGTATACCTTTGCCCAGGGCTCAGATGGGCACAGCCAACATCTGCCTCTGTGGTTATCTTGGTAGCCAAATCTCAAAAGGACATCTCCCCTCATCCTAGCTTTGGTTTGGGGGCTTCAGTGAATAAACCTTGTATCTGCCTCTTTCATAAATTAGAGGCTTCTATTTTGCCCCCTTTTAGTCTTTGTCTTTTTAGACTGAAGGACTTAGTTTTCACCTGTCATCACATGTCCCCCCTAATCCCCCCTTCACGCTCCCAGAAGTTTGCTGATGCTTCTCTACATCCACTGACTGACCTTCTGGTGAAGAGACTTACTCCAGACATGTCAGGATCGGGCATGCTACTTTTATGTAAAGGTGGAATGTGGTTTTTCTCTTCTATTTTTATCCCTTCTGGGTGGCATACCTCTTTAGATACTTAGCGACGATCCGCAAGGCGTGGACTGCCCAGATGTCACTGATTGGGTTGCTGCCCTGGTAGGCTGGCCGAAAGATGGGATTTGAAGGGCAGGGGCTCCGCATGTGGTAGGGAAGGGCAGTGTAGGACTCCAGGGCATGGCTAACAAGAAGTATTTAAAATACACAGATTGAAAGTGTGGTCTTCCTCCTTCCCAACATGAGGATTACAAATGTATTCACTCAACTGTGGATATGCTATGTGGCACTGATAACCACGGTACATTCCACTGGTCAACTCTTGCCCACAACAGTCAATGCTTGTTACAGAAATTAATATAGTGAAGCTTACATTAAAAGCACTGCAGTTTTTTGACCCCTTCTAGTGCAAACAAATCTTTACCATGTTAAATTTTCAAACATTTAAGGAAGGAAAGCACTGAATCTAAAAAAAAATTATTTCCTCCTAAAGCATGTTTATCATTTTATACTTTGCATTAATCAAATACTATACTACACAAGTAGGATCATAATTACTCTACCCTCCCATTACAAGTACGTACAGGGAGTGAGAACACTGACCTGGGGTCACCTGCCCAGGTATAAATCCTACCACTGGATCTTCCCACTGCAGGCTGGGGTTGGGGGTCATCACCATCTCCCTATGATTCCAACATGGGAATAAACAATGCAACATTTTCCTGAGCTACTGTTGAGTTGACTTATGTAAAGTTCTTAGCACATGGTACAAGCACATTGTAAAACTTATTATTCACTGTTATTATTAATTCTTGTCCTGAAAAAAAATCCAATTCTTCTTCCTTAAGTGCCCTAAATTTAGGGTTGGCTATTTCAACACCCAAGCTTCAAAATTTCCACGAACTGCTTGTTGGCCACCAATTCTGTCTAATCCACTGCTGAAGGTAATAATAAACATAACTCTCCAGATCAGTGATGCATTGGGAACACAATATAACATGAATGATTTTTTGCACGAATTACAGCTTTCAGTCTTAGAATGGAGAATTTCCTTTCTTCTATACTTGAGAAGCAGATAACATCTTGAACAAAGCATTAGAACTTTAAAAAAAATTAGTTGGTATGACTTTGTGGTTCTAAACAGGGACTCTGTGGGCAATGCAAGAATAAGGTGTCCACGAGAAGAGGACAGGGTGGTGAGGTTCACTGAGGTACCCTGCATGCATCTTGATTCTGGACCCTAAGAGAAGCCCTGTCTCACCAAGCTGAGCTCACAGAAACTATGTATAAAATCTGAAAGTCCCATTAAATGTATAAAGAGAAATATAGCTGCTGAGGGGTACAAGTACCTGAGTCATCTAGAGAGCATCTTTTCTCCTTGTTGGCAAGTCCTATGGATGCTAATTCAAGATCAGAAGAACCTTGAAGTCCTAACAAAGGGAATTGCCTCTAAGGTTAAATACGTGGGTGTGTCTATCTCCAGAACTGGCCACTGGGGACCAGGGGTAGAGACTTCAGGCCAGTGGTTCTCTTCCTCAGAAAGTACTTGGAAGAGTGAGTACCATAATTTTTTCTTCTGAGCCCATCCCCACCCCTTTTTGATTGACAGTGAAGTGTTTGGGCTTGTGAGTCATTCACTTAAAGGTGACTTCCTTGGTCTATTATATATTTATTAGGTAGTTTCCAATTAGGGAGGATAATCTAATTTCCCTTATTTCCAAGTTGTTAGGGGACAACTCTTCAAAGCATTGACAACTTTGGCCAGGACAGAGTTGAAAACAATTTTGTCCAATTTTTTGGCAGGCAGCATAATGTAGGGAGAAAAGCAGATCACAGACTTGGATAGACCTGGAAATGAATCCTAACTCTGCTGCCTCCTGCTTGTGCAAACTTCATTCAACAGCTATGACATGCCAAGGGGCAGGGATATATAAGTGAGTAAGATGGTCTTATCCTCACCAAGGTCACAGTCCACTGAGGAGATGATAGGCATGTGAAGAGAGAGGTGTCTCAGAAGCAATGCACAAACCCCCAGTGGGGAAGTGCAAAGGATGGAATGGTCGGTTGTACTTGAGGAGAGGGGAGGGCAGGGTCAGTAAAGGCTCCATCAAGGAAAGAATGCTCCAGTGGAACCCAAAAATCAGTTACACAAGCAGATAAAGAGTAGTGCATTGTTGATATTCCAGGGCCAAAGAAATTGGACCTTTGGACATTAAGCATGGAAAGCCACTGAAAGACTTGTAAGGTAGAGTTGTATATGTGTGTATGTGTATTGATTGTCATCTCGAATTCTGCAAGTTTGGTGAGGCCTGTTTGGAGGACAGATAGAAAGACTATGGGATGGAAACAAGCAGACTGATGAGGAGGCTACTGCAACCATTCAGGCAAAAGCTGGGGTAGGCCTACACCAAGGCAGGAGCATTGAAGCAGGAGCAGATCTGAGAGAGATTCAGCAGGACAAAGTGCAGGATCCGATGGCTAGTGTGGGCATGAGAGAAAGGAGGCGTCCCTACTGAGTCCTGTTGCTCACTAAGGTAAGAGACTCAGAGGAGAAGTTGCCAGGTATGTTGGCTGGGGCAGGGGGTGGGGAAAGAGGTGGAAATTAAGAAAATGATCAGATTTCATCAAATTTAAGATATTGTGCATTATAACATACCATTTTAAAAACTGCACTACTGGGGAAGAAAATCCTATACCATGCCACAGATTTTAAGATATGTTCTGATTTGAGATGTTAGAATATGAAAAAATGTGCATGTGCAAATGGATGAAATAGGGTAGCTTGGCACATACTGGTGTGAAGTGCCCATGGGACCTCCGTGAAGCCGTGGAATGAATGGCCTGGAGCTCAGCAGTGAGGTCTGTGGTAGAAGCCACTGATTAGGGAGCCATCTCGCAAAGCAGCTGAAGCCCAGGGAGCTCACAGTATAACTCTGGGCAAGTTACTAAACATCTCAAAGACAGTTCTCCTTTTCATCTGGCACAGAGCTGTGGTGAAGTGATAATGAGTATGAAGTGCTGACATGGCGTGCACAGTCCAGCTCAGGGAATGTCAACTCCCTCCCCTCCCCTCTTCCGTGTTGTGGCAACTCTGGGATTCTCTGGTTAGTGTAGCCACAGAGGCATGCCAGCTTCAACTGCTCCTTTTGCCTGTCCCTGCAGCCACAGCTGCAGCTAGGGTGGTCCATCCTGAACAGCAGGTTTGTGGCTCACCCGGAGCCTCACCTATTTACTACCCTGCTCACTAACAGTGTCCTTCTTTTTCATTTAGGAAAGGGGATAATGACAGTCTAAGCTGAGGTTGCTGTGGAGAGCTAATCAGTGAATGGTTAGTAAGTACTTTCACTGAGAAAATACTGTGCTCTTCCAGCCGGCACCCAGCCATGGCATCTCTTAGGACAATTGGCACAAGCGCTGCAAGACTGAGGGCAAGAGAAAGCTCTGCCACAAGAAGCAGAGATATGAGCTGGGACTCCCTGCTGTCAATACTGATTGGCTCTTGCCTCATACAAGTAGTCTGTGTGCAGGGAAGCAATATGAAGTACTGAGCCTTGAGGTTGGACATGGGCAACTTCTCCTGGGGTTCAGAGTGTTGTAAGCACAAAGCAAGGATTATTGATGTTGTGGACAGAGTGTTCAACAATGAACCGGTCTGTACCAAGACCCTAGCAAAGAACTGCATTGTGCTCATTGACAGCACACAGTATCGACAGTGGTATGAGTCCCACTGTGCACTATCCCTGGGCCACAAGACAAGGGCCAAGATGACTCCTGAGGGAAGAAGAGATTTTAAACAAAAAGCAATCAGGAAAAAATTTCAGGAGAAACATGAAGAAAGGAAAGAGAATGCCACAATCAGTCATTTTCTAGAGGAGCAGTTCCAGCAGGGCAAGCTTCTTGCACACACTGTTCCAAGGTCAGGCCACTGTGGGCAGGCAGATGGCTTGTGCTCCAGGGCATGGAGCTGGAGTTTTATCTGAGGCAAATCAAGGCCCAGAAAGGCAAATAAATCCTCTTCCCTCCTATCTCAGCTCATGTAATAAAGGTTTTCATTGTTCGGGGTGGTGGGGGGGGGGGGAAGGAAGAAAGAAAAAGGAAAGAAAATACTGTCCATAGATCCAGGTACTGAAAATGCCCCTCAGGTACCTACCAAAGCACATCGAAGCCACTGTTGGCGACCACCCGGTCAGGCATATGCAGGGTGTGCAGAGGGTCAATCAGCCCCAGCGTGGGTTTGATGGCTCTGGAACCAATGCCTAGGACAGGGATTTTCAATAGAGGCTATAGGTATAGATGGATGTCATTTACAAACATTGAATAACTTTAGGATGATAAATTATCCTAAAAAATAGAAAAATATGAGATATGAGTTATTCTCACATAGGGAGGCAGCAAGGAGCATGGAAAGAGATCTGGAGTTAGACACCTGAGTTTTCAGTGGAGCAGAAGCTCTTTTCAGTTTGCAGGAGCCAAGTATGTGCATCTCTTCCCAAAGGCAGGCTGAGTGACATCATTGGCTATGGTGGGAGTATTTATGTCACAGGAATTGGCAAAGGCTGTACAAATCAGGGTTTATTTGCTTAGTAAATGTTAGAGAGGTGGTTCACTAGCTCACCCCTGGTTTGGATCTTTGCTCTGCAACTGATCATGTGTCTTTGGGCAAGTCACTTAGCCTCCCTGAATTCTCTGTGAGATTCGACTACACAGTCACAGGGCCTCCGTCCATCATGGAGCTGTTGTAAGGACCACTTTAGATAAAATTATGGGAAAGCCTTTAAAAAATTGTAAGATAAAATTTAAGTGTTGGTAATTATTATTCCTTGATGTCCAAGGATAATGTAATTTAATTTTAAAGAGAAGTTACTAAAAATGTGTGGTTGAAAGTCAATTTATTCTGCTATGAAGGCCTGAAAGAAGGATATTGAGACAGACTCAGAGAGAGGGACATTTCCACTCACTTAGCTGAGAGTCAGAGAAGAAGATAGAATAAAAAGGACAGAGAAGATGGAAAGCAGAGCAGTGGTTACTGGGAATGGGACTGGAGGGATTGCTCTGGAGTGATGGTGGTGCTTTGCATCTTCATTGGGGTGGTAGTTAAATGGGTGTCTATTATTTGTCAAAGTCCATCAAACCAGGCTCTTAAAATGTATGAATCTTATTACAGAAAAGTTATATCTCAATGAAATTGATTTAAAATGTAAAAAAGATATCTAAGAAAAGGAATAACCCTTTATTACTGATGTACCATTGCTAACTTTGGCAGAAAAATGGCCAGTCAAGACTCCAGGCCTTCTAAGTCATGAAAGGCAAGGACCTCATCCAAGATTGCTCTACCCAGCAAAACTTTCATTTAGAATGGAAGGGCAGATAAAGTGCTTCTCAGATAAGGTTAAGTTAAAGGAGTTTATCATCACCAAGCCCTTATTATATGAAATGTTAAAGGGACTATCTAAGAAAAAGAAGATAAAAAACATGCATAGTAAAATGACAGCAAACTCACAATTATTAACAACCACACCTAAAATAAAAACAAAAACTAAGGAAACAACTAGAATAGGAATAGAACCACAGAAATGGAGATCACATGGAGGGTTAGCAACAGGGGAGTGAGAGGAGGAAAGAGGGGGAAAAGATACAGAGAATAAGCAGCATAGATGGTAAGTGGAAAATAGGGGGAGGGCAAGAATAGTATGGGAAATGTAGAAGCTAAAGAACTTATAAGTATGACCCGTGGACATGAACTGAAGGGGGGAATGTGGGTGGGAGGGGCCGTGCAGGGTGGAGTGAAGGGGGGAAATGGGACAACTGTAATAGCATAATCAATAAACTATATTTTTAAAAAGACTCAAGTCTTTTCCATACACTTTTGTAGGCAATTCTCAAAAAGAAGTTTTTTAGACTTCTTCCCTATTTTTGATAGATATTACTTAGAAAAAAATGTGTATATGTATATACCCTTCCCTTAACTCCTTGATTGTTAAATATTAGGATTAAATAAAAGGGGCTAGGTTTGAAAGGTAAAAGAGAGAATTTTTTAAAAAAGTTAATGGGCAAAGTTCTTACCAGTTTTTACTTTCAAGGGCTCATAGTCAAAAATGGCAACTCCAGTAGTTTCACTCCCAGTTCCTGAAGTAGTTGGGACTTGAACAAAATAATATTAATATTAATAGAGCATCTAAATAAAGGTCTGTGGAAATATTTCATTCAGCCTTAGGAAATAAGAAACAAACAGAAGGAGGCTTTGCTGCCCCTGTTGCTTGTCTGATGTTATATCTCTATTCACTTGCATGCATATGTGCCTGCATTAACATGTATGTACAGCAGTACAATGCCCAGGCCAGCATTAACATACATAATGTTTGCATCTGTATTAACATGCATACGTGTAATGTGCATGTTGGCATGTATAGGATGCTTGTGTCTGTTAACACATATGGATGATGTTCACATCTGTATTAAGCACATGTAGGTTTAACATATATGTATGATGTCTTTTTCTGTATTAACAGTGAGGAGCTCTGGGAACCTCAGGCTTCTCTAGCGCCAGAGCTGAAGCAGCTGCAGTTGGATATTCAAATGCAGGCTGCTGGGCAACTCCAGGAAGAAAACTTGGATTTGCCTCTCTAAAAGATGTCTTTATTCTCTCTTGGCAGCAAGCACAGTAATGCTCTGCCTTTGCTGGGCTCGGCTCTGTAGTTCTGTCAAGTTTCTAAACTTTACTAATCACCCCTCTGTGTGATGCCGACACAGTTTCACCAGAGGGTTCCCTTTGCCAGACATCAATTATGCTGCTCCCTGCTGATCGCTCATTCCCATCAAAGCAGCTCATCTGCCGCCACCTCAGTCCTATCCTCTCACAGGCCTGTTAACAATGGGGGCAGAAGAAAGAAGATGAGACTTTAAACTGGCATTTTCCAGTGACCAGTTAGGGCATTTTAGCCATAAAACTTTAAACAGTAATATGCTAACAGTTATAAAATGAGAGGGGAGAAAAAACAGAAAGCTGCTAAGGTCTGTGTGAAACAGACAAGCTATTCTGATTTGCATTTGCATGTCTGTGTCCCTTGCAGCCAGAGAGCAGATGTCTCCCAGAGCTATGTGACCAGGCTGGCCACATGTCCCCGCGCAGAGACAAAGCCTCAGGTCAGCCGAAAAGCCATTATGTAAAGGGAGGGGTTGAGTCAACACCAGGAAAAATAATAGTGAATGTTCCACTTAATCTCCATAGTGGCTGGCAAAGTGGGACAAAACAGAGAGGGGCTTAGAAGACAAACCTACCTATAGGGGGATCTAATGATATGTAAATGATGGCCTTCCCTCCTCCTTCACATAGTGACTTCATAGCTTAAATCTGCAAACTTTCCTACTACTGGCCCGAACTGTTCCAATCTGTGCAATAATGAAGATCAGATTTATAAACAAACAAATTTGCTTTGTTTTGATCTCTAAACAAGGTACTACACTGAAATGAAGAAATCAGAAAGCTTTAGAAACACATACCCTAGAATTCCTGGCTTGCATCTTTCCTAAGGTCTTTTGCCAATTGCCAAAGAGAACAAATGAAAAAACAAGCAAATGAACAATCTTTACCTGCAATCAGAGGCTTCAGAGGCACGGAAACAGGCCTCCCCTTCCCAATGGGGACACTGACGTAATCTAGGAAATCAGAGTGAGGGCTGGACGCATACAGATTAGCGGCTTTGCAGGTGTCCATGGTGGAGCCGCCACCCACAGCAACGTAGGCATCAAAAGCTCCCTTTTTGGCAAACTCAATAGCTTCCATGAAGCTGTGAGAAAGGAAAAGAAAAGCGATTATGTGACATTTTTGAGAAATAAACTTACATGTCACTAAGCAATTTTTGCAGTAAGTTTCAAGCAACAGTGATATGTGTGGGCTTCCATTTAAAGTAAGTAACAACAACAATTAAAAAATACCTTCTATCGGTTGGTTCCACTCTCACATTATCATAAACCTTAAAGCGTATACCATGCTTCACCAGGGAATCCATAACTATTTGTGCAGGAGGGAGCTGGGAGAGGTTCTTATCTGTCATCACACAAACGTTTTTAGCGCCCATGTTTTGTAGGTCCTGCAATAACAAAAATAATTTATAAGTTAGGTCTGATTACACTAGAAATGTAATAGACACTTCTAGCCAACTTAACATTAAACTTTTTCTTTAAACAAAGGACTCAATTGTTGTCCATTTGCATTTGTTTTAAAAGATATGTAACCTCTCCAGTAGACTCTAGAAATCTTAAATACTTGCCATTCCCACTTCCTTTGTAACTCCTGCTCCATATCTAATGTTCGAAACAGCCATCTGAAAAAAAAAAAGATTTTGGTGATGGCTGTATGAGAGATTAACCACTTCACTTCTAAAGCCTGAAATATTTCCTCATTGCCTAGAGAATAAAGTATACGTCCCGTACCATGGCCTTCCTGTTCACTCTATCTGGCCAGACTCACCCTACCTCTTTAAGCAAACCTTGGCTCTAGCCACACTGAAATTACTTATCTTTTTCCAGACACATCATAAACTCTCCATTGTTTCCTCAGCTTGAAATGCCTGCCTTTCCTTGTCTCCACAAGTAAGTAACCTCTCAAATTTCTTATTTTCCAATTTAAATGTTACTTCCTCAGATATTTTCACCTCTTCATTCATTCATCCAACCATTCATCACCCAACCATTCTTCTACCCAACTATCCTTGCATGCACGTATGCATCCATCCATCCAATCGTCCACCTGTTTTTCCACCCACCCAATGCTACCGAGTGCCTACTAGGCTCCAGATTCTGTGCTAGGCTCTGCTGGTACAACTATGAACAAGAGAAACAGTCTCATAAAGTTTACAGCTGAGAGAAGAGCTTCTATACCAATGGATGAATAGTCACTATTGGCCCAAAGATGTGTTTTGTTTGATCCACAATATGTTTAGATTTCTTTATTGAATTGGCTCATAACTTTTAAAAATCGGCATAAAAACATCCAATGTGACTGTGCGATCTCTCTGAAATAACTGGGTGCATGGGCCTGCATCCCCATGTGGCAGCCATCCTGTGGGAATGAGGGGAGGACAGTCTTCAGAAGGCCTGTACACTCAGTGCACTCAGCACTGTCCTCATCCAGCCTGTTCGTGGGCTGGCTGACTGTCCACCCTGGTGACATTTAATTTACAAGTCCTGAACTGGGAAAAGACATGGATTTAAACAAATAATTATGTAATTACAGTGTGATAAAGATTCACCAGAATGAGTTGTTTCTTTACCCTTATGTGAAAAGGTTACTTGATATAATCTTTAGGGGTTGTTATACTTACAAAACTAAAGAAGATTTAACATGCAGCATATATAAACTGAAAAGTTTATAGAACTGGGAATTTGTCTTATTTTAATGGCCATACAGAAGATGGTATTCTAATCATTACTCATGTTATCAGAAGATTTATATTCCATTATCCTAACAAGGTATTTTGCTAAACAGGGCCAGATCAAATATTGAGATTAAGGGACACCAATTAATAGCAGACTTTAAATGAGATAATAATGCATACTCTAGTTGTATTTTTTAGATCATCCATGAAAGAAAGAAGGGCTGATAAATTTACCTCAAAGGCATAATCTGTCGTTTTTCCAGAAGGTGCAGGCCCGGGAGCTAGAAATGTAAAAGTTAGTATCAGTGCAGGCCTCAAAAACAGCAAAATATCGTTATTTGATAGTAAATTAGTATTCTAGCAGTGAACATAAGCATCTCCCTTGCAGCCTTGCCTGAAATATATTTTTCAGGTTTCATTGTTGCATATCAAATTAAAATTAAAACTATATTTTAAGAGAATGCAATGCTAACTTGTCTGATTGTGTGAAAATAAAGTTACTTAAAATATTTCCCCATTGAAATTAACATATACTTTTGAAAACATGTGTAAAAAATATTTTACAAAAAGATATCTTCTAGACTCAAGAGTTGGGTTATTGTTAGAGAACAATTATTAGCAGATTCATTAATTAGAATCTTGCTCACACTTCTTACAGTACTGTGATCATTTGTTTCAATTAATAATTTTTCCAAGGAGGTTACTTATCACAATAAGGTATTTCTATTTTTCAAGATTATAAATATAAACATTTTAGCTCTCTTTGTGAAATGTAGTTAAAATTTTTTATAAATTGATACTTCTTTGTAACAGTTGTAGGTAGGGCAAAATGCTTTTCTGCGTATTGGAACAACAAGCGGGCCCCACTAAATGTCCTTGTTTTTATCTACTTACTTTTAAATCAGTCCTGGTTCGTCTAATCTATTACTCTAGTGACTCAAGTTTAGGAAAGGACATAAATTGGATCCTATTAAACTGTGAAGTTAACTTTCTCTAAATTACTGATTTTAATCACCCATATAGGAAATTCCCCATTCTTTGTTGAAATCCAGTAAGAGTTGGAGAAAATCAGCTGAAGGCAAAGTTCTGCACAGGCTCTCGAGGGCCAGAAAGCCTTCTGTTTGGTGAATGACCGTTAATGAATGGGCAGTCCCTTGGCTTGTCCTGCAGTGTGAGTCACTCCACCGGCCGCAAAGCACTCAGTTTTCCTGTCTCTGTTCCACTCCCAACAGGCCTCTCTGCGGGTTTCTGCTTTGGGTCCTTTTGGCCAGACCCCTTACTTTTCATCCCTCTCCTCCCCTTGCTGTTTATATGTGACCTTTCCTTCCAAGAGGTGAAATCAGTGTTTGTGTCAGTAATTCATGTGACATTCTGACAACTCGCTGAAGTTACAATGAGCTTCCTGCTGGTCTGTGCACAATGGAGTGGGTAAGAATTAAGACATTTGTGGGAAATGAAAACTTCTCATTATTTTTAATTATTAAGAAATAGAGCTATTTTAATAGAATATTATTTTTAAAAATTAATGAACAAATTTTTAATTCTAGGAACCGCCTTGCTCTTTAGCTTCTTTCTTTTTTTGAGATGTATTACAACATTCAAAAAATTTCATCTTTATGGTTTGATGTCTCGGACAATCCTAAGAGTCTCTTCATGGCATCATTTTTAGCTTTGCAAATAATTCTATTTAAAACAGAAAAACATTATAAAACAAATTAAATACATATTAGAACCAAACACACAATCAGCAGCATGTATTCAGCTAACTTTGTGTAATTAGAAGCACATATTACCAATTTCTAGTGAAAAGGCAGCCATTTTCATCAACCTCCTTCTCCTATCCCTTGATTTGCTTGCTTTACCCTTTGCCCAAGTGTAACAGAGTGCCAACTGTGGAAACGGGAATTGTGGCCAGTTTAAAAACACAAAATGTATCATTACCTTGGGAGTAAGTATGAGAATGAGTTGGGCACTGGCATCTAGGGAGAAGGAGAAAAAAAAAAAGGCAAAACTGTAAAGCAAAACTGTAAAATCCAAAGATAGGACAAAGTAACTTGCTCTGCAGTCTTACAACGGTAGCAAAATAGTAGCTATTGGCAAAGATTGGACATAGAAAAAAATCAGAAATCACCATGGACAAAAATTCGGCCTGAGTCTTCCAGTGTTGTAAGCTCTTTTTTTTTCATTAATTCTCCAAGCAGTACTTAATAAATGCCCGCGAGCGTTCTGGGGACACAGGCAAGTTTAAGATGGAGTCCCTGGGCTCAGCGCTTACCAGTTAAAAGCTTTGATGAAACTGACCCGAGGTTAACTACTCACACACTTCCTTTTACCCACCTGTGTTTTCCCATTGTCGTCAGGTGTTTAATTCGTCTTCATACAGGTTCTGGGCCTCATCTGCTGGCCTTCCTGAGGAGGCCACCTCCCGCCTCCGCCTCCTTCCTTCCTCTGCCAAAATCCAGGGACCAGCGACCACCTCCTAGACTCCCCGTGCCTGTCCACTTCCGCCTGAATTGCACTCCCACCTGCTCCTCTACCCTTGCCTTCCGTATTCCTTCCCTGTCTTGGTAGCATCCTCCTTCGTGGACAGTCCCCTTCTCCAGCTTCCTTTTGTCCTGCTCATTATGTTTGTTGAGAAAGGGTTTTGTTTGTATTTATTGCCCAGAGGACTTTGTCATAGTGGGGTTCCTATAGATACCCGAGTGTATAACCTCCCCCATTCAAATTTGTAATGAAAACATCTGAATGAGAAGGAGAAAGAAAAAGGTTGAATTCAGTGGTAGTCAAGATCTCAAAAACCAGAAGTCAAAACTACAGGGGAAGCCAGCGTGAGCGCTACCGTGAATCACAGCTGCCATCTAGTGGGCGAAGTTGAGCACGCCAGGCGCTACGGGTTCCCCGGGAGCATCCCAGCCGGTCTGATCCAGCTGCAGGCTCCCCCAGGAGAAATGAAAGTAGGCAAGGCCAAGGTGTTCTCTCCTTCACAGGTGGGCTTATTTCCCTCCAAGGACAAGAAAAGAGGTGCAAAGGGAAGGAAAAAATCACACGCAAAGCTTTCATCCCATCCCCTCTTGCCTTATCAGGAGCTCTGTCCTGTATTTACTAGTTCTCCCCCTTACTTGATCTTGTTGTATCATGTTTCAGATTTTCATGCTTAGAACTCTCAACCTCATTTCCCTTTGGGCTTGTTCTTTCTGTGGTGCTGCACTCCTGACCTACATCTGCTGGCCCCATTTCCTTGCCTCCCACACATTCTTTGGCCCCCTAAAATCAGCTGCTGTCTTCACAAGTCCCAGCTTTCCTACTGTATCCTCACTCCTCAGACCTCCTCCCAGCACCATGCTCTCAAAGCACTGGACACTGTGGGCCCGAAATGCTCTTGGCTTCTAGGACTCCCTGCTCACCTGCAGTTATTCTCCTTGTGGCTTCTTTTCCACTCTGCCCATTGCTTTAAATGTTGGCTTCTGTCTTGGGCTCACCCCTCACCCTTTGTAACCAACCGTGCATCAAGGCCCCCAGTATTTCTCTACCCAGATCTGCCCACTGCTCTGGGGCCCTCTGCCACTCTCTTGTTCCAGTGTTATCTCTCATCTGGTTTATTATCAAGTTCCTAACATGCTTCTCTTCACTCCACCTTTGCCACACTGTGGCCAGGGGTATATTTCCAATGATGTCACTCCCTTGTTTAAAAGTACTTTGATGGCTCTTAGATGAAGTTCAGGTGAGGCCCTGCTAACCTCTCTAGCCTAGCTCCTCATCACCCTCCATCTCTGGGGCTGAGCTCTTAAAAAATAAACTTGGTTCTTTTAATCAACCACACATGCTCTTGCCTCTAGAACTTTGTCCTTATTTTCTCTGCCTGGAACTTACCTTCCCCACTCTTCTGGATAACTAGTGTTCTTTTCTGTTGCCAATTCTGATGTCAGTTCCCCACTCTTCTGGATAACTAGTGTTCTTTTCTGTTGGCAATTCTGATGTCTTCTCCGAACTTTGTCCTTATTTTCTCTGCCTGGAACTTACCATCCCCACTCTTCTGGGTAACTAGTGTTCTTTTCTGTTGCCAATTCTGATGTCAGTTGCCCTAGGCATTTTCCCCTAAGGCCTGGGGGCCACGGAAGGCACCCTCTCTCTGTGATCCCTGCACTTACCTTCTCATTAAAACCGTTACCACACTGCCTCTTTCCTGTTTCCATTTGCCTCCAGTATGTAAATTTTGTGGTAACAAGACACGAGCTAACCTTTTCCACAACTTTATCTGCAGTGGCTAGCATAGTGCTGGGCACAAAGTCAGCCCTTTATACTGAATAGATGAGTAATGAATGAAGACATTTTAAATTCCCTGACCTTCTCTGTTTTCCTAGTGTGCAAAGACACAGAACTTGACTTGGGGAAGGAAGAATAGACTGGTCTCCCCCACTTTCTTAGAATGGCCCAAAGCCACTGATGAGCTTCTTGGCTCCTAGGAGAAGTAGAGGAAACCCCAGTTAGAGCAAACACCTCACCCACCCACCTCCTGGCTCTGGCCTAACCCTCTGGCTTCCCTCCCTGCGTCACTGATAAACTGGCCATGCTTTTAGCAAATGCCTGCCCCTCACCTGTGTACTACGTCTCAGTCCCACTCAAGGGCATTACTAGTTGTTCCTCCTTATCAAAATTTCCCTTGCGATAGACCTTTTTCCATATCGTATTAGAAAGCAAACAGCTTTCAGCAGCTGTGAAACAGGAAATACCGGCTGGGCAGAGGACCTCAGGTCTCCTTGTCCTCCTAGCCCTTCATCCTCCCCCAAAGGCCCTCAGTAAAATGGTTTTATCTCCCCACCCCACAAAGCAAACGATAACCTTCTCTTGTTCCTCTTCCCTCTCCTGATGCTGCCCCCACCTCTCTCCTTCCCTTTACCTGACTATACCTGCTCTCTCCAATTTCTCTTCTCCTATCAGCTCTGGAACCTCTTCCAATTGGCCTTTGCCCATGATTCCACTGACAAGGTCACTAAAATCCTCACCTTGCTAATACCTGACTCACTTCTAAGTTCAGTTCTCATCTTACCTGACCTGTCAACAGCATCCTGTTGTCCATTACCTCCTCCCTGGAAACATTTTCTTCCCTTGGCTTCTAGGACACCACTCTCCGGTTTTCTCCCTCCCACACTGGCTGCTTGCTCCTTGACCGATTGCTCTTCATGCTCTGAGTCTGAATGCTACAGGGTCCTAGAATGCAGCCCATGGGCTTTTCTCTTTCCACACTCACTCCCTGAGTAACCTTACCTGGTCTCGTGGCCATGAATACCTTCTATGATGACTTCCACATTTATCTTCTAGTTTAGGCCTCTCACCTGAATTCCAGGTTCAACTGCACTTGAATATCTATTAGGCATCTCAGTTTCCCTGCTTAAGACTCAGCTTCCCTCGAAGCCTCCTCCCCACTCCAGGTTAATGGCAACTTCATCTTTCCAGTTGTTCAGGTAAAAAATATTGGGGTCATCCTTGGCCACCCACCTGGCCCCCAATGTCTCTGACCTTGTCTCCCCCTCATGCACTCTGCTCCAGGCACCATGTTCTAAAACCACACTGGGTATTGCTTCACCTCTAGGCACCTCCCCAGAGAGCCACATGGTTCACTCCCTCCCTCCATTGGTCTTTCTGCAACAGTTAATTCTCAGTGAGTGTGATCAGCTGAGTCCCTGAAGATATCTGGGGTCCCATTTCCTGGAATCTGTGAATATTACTTTATAAAGCACATCTGCTGGTGTGGTTAAATTAAGGATTATGGGATGGAGAGATTATCCTGGATTATCTGGCTGGGCCCTAAATGTAATCACAAGCATCCTCATAAGGGAGCCAGAGGGAGATCTGGCATAGCAGGCAATGCGACTACTGAAGCAGGATTCTACATTGCTGGCTGTGAAGCTGGAGAAAGGGGCCACAAGCAGAGGAATTTAAGGAGCACAGCTCTAGAAACTGGATAGAGCACGACACATTAGTTCTCCCCTAGAACCTCTGAAGGGAGTGTGGCCTTCATTTTGGCCCAGTAAAACTGATTTTAGACTTCTCAAACGTCAGAACTGTAAGAGAATAAATATGTACACAGCCAGAATATATGAGTTCATATTATGGCTGTGCAATTTGCTTAGCTGTGTGACACCAAATTCTTTTTCTCCATGCCACTGTGTTCACAATAATCTGTGACAGCAGCAATAAGAAACGATGAGGTCTTCTCTGACCATCTTTTCTAAAACTGCATCCCCTCCTCCAACACCCAATCTCCCTTTGCTTTATCTTGTTCATCAACATCTAATTTACTCTAAACTTACTAGTTTATTGTCTGTTCCGCCTGCCCCATGCACACAATTAAGTGCCAGGGATGTTGGGCTGTTTTGTTCCCAGTGTACCCCAGGGGATGAGAACTCTGTAAATATGCAGTTATTGTGATGTCTTTCCCTTCTGGGTTTTCTCCCATCTCTTTGGCCAGGACTCCAGTCCTTTAATGCTGATGTCTTTTCCTCCATTCAAAATGCAAATTATTTGCAAATCCAGATGCCTAAGGAGGCCAGTAGGTAACGTAAATAAGAGGCCAGAGCACGTCAGAGTGGCTGCTGTGTGGAGTGAGCGGTGGGCTGTGCTGGGTCTCTCAGGAAGCTGGAGTGCACCCCTGTCCAAAGGAGGTGGCCACGGCCTCGGCCCCTGCAGACTTCCTCCAGATGTGGGTCCCATCATGCCATTTCCCAATTTGCCAAGATTTTTATTTGAAAAATCTCTTTTAAATGCTTACCTTATTTAAAAAAATGTGTAGGACCAACAATGCACCATTTTACTACTTAGGCTGTAACAGTGCTGCTCCCCAGGACTTCATTCTCAGCCCTTTTTGTCTATGCTTACAGTTTGCCAGGGCATTTGCTGCCACCCTATGGTGCGTTCTCAACTTGCTCCTGAATTCCAGAATAATATATTCAATTCCCGGCTGGGGGTCTTCATCTGGATATTCCTGAGTCATGTCCAACTCAAAATGTCCAGGACTTGTAAGTCATCACCTTCCTCCCAAAGTGAACTCTCTTACAGTCCCGACTTCAGTAAATGTCCCCACTATTTAACTGATGCCCCAGGCAGAAACCTCCATTTCTCTTTACCTCACTAAAACTATACAAAATCTTGCTGATTCTAACCAATTCCTCAATATTTCTCATATCTACCTTGTGTACTGGCTGCCTCTCCTCAGTGTCTGAAGCCATCATCTTTCAGCTGGAGCACTCTGCAACCACCTCCAGTATCTCCACTCTCAACTGCCACCAGCAAGCTCTAACTTAATTCTAATTATGCCACATGCCTTTCTCACGTGACCATTCTGAAAACATATCTACATGACACTTCCAGGGCATAGAAATGGTGTTGCTTGGTGAAAAGGTCTCTGATGACACAAGTTTAGAATGAAGAGTTTAAATACAATTGACCATTTGCTCCCCTTGCCTGATTTCTCAGAGCCCTTCCTGTGCTCACACACATCCCGAGTGTCCAAGAGAGCTATGCACCAGTGAGCAGTTTCCCAAATCTATTTGGTCATTGAATTCTTTTTTTATGGGGCATTTCAACATATTAGTGTTTTCACAGTAAGAATTATTGCTTCCACAATTTCCCATTATCCACACAACACAATTCAAACTCCTTAGATGAGAACAAGAAATGTAAAACCAGAATATATGAGTTCATATTATGGCTGTGCAATTTGCTTAGCTGTGTGACACCAAATTCTTTTTCTCCATGCCTTTATTTCTTCACCTATGAGGATACAATACAGTATTGCGAAGGGTTGTTGTAAGGATTACAGTTACTATTAATAGTAAGTGTAAAGTGTGTAGGACAGTGCCTGGCACATGGTTAAGTGCCCAGTAAGTTCTATTTTCTTTTTATGGTCTTTTACCATCTGTCTTTTCCTATGAAGGGGCTGGAGGGTGCACTTTCTACTTCTCTTGCCTCTGGTGCTTCTCTTCCCTTGGCCTGAAATTTCTCTCTAGTGCCCCCTATCACCTTATTTTTCTCCACCTGTTTGAATTTTTCCAGGCCCAATATTGCACCAGCACATCCAACGAGTATTTTATCAGACGGCTGCTTATGTACCTTTTTTTTTTTTTTACAAAGTCATACACATCATAACATTTTAACAGTCCTGCTGTAACAGTGCTGCACATGAGAGGGAGTGAAGCTTCGGGTGACTTCTCAGCTTCATCTTTCTCTTCTACACTCTCTGTCCACTGCATTCCGCCCAGACCTGTTTTACAAACCCTAACCGCTCAACCCTATATCCTACTAGACTTTATAGTGTTCCAGTGTCTTTCATCTTTGTATCCCCAGCTCCTAGAATAGTTTTTTGGCACTTAACATGCACCCAGTATAAGTGCATTGATTGGATACACGAATTTGTCTCGGTCACTGTGCCATGAGCTGACATGACATGGGACCAGGCACTATCCTCTCTGGGCCTGTTTCCTTAACTGTATATAGAACGGGGTAAAAACCTGCCTCACAGCGCAATGCGTGATTGCGTGGTACTGTGACAACGCTGTCTCGCCCAGCGCACTGCAGTAGCCCCTTCCCCAAGTTAATGAAAGTAACCCAAGGAACAGTGCGCGGGGCCCAGGCGCATCACGCCCAGAGGGGCTGCGTGGGAACCATGTCACCCTCGGGTCCCCCACCCGCCCACCGGGCCCCCGCACTCACGCTGCACGCTGCAGTTGCCTCAGCAAGTGCGCGACACGAGAGCGGGAGGCAGCGGCCATGACTGCGCGTCTGTCTCCCCGTGGTCCCGCCCCCAACCCCCATGCTGGCCAATTCCTGCAGCGCCCGCCTCCTTCCTAGGACTGCCCACCAGCCTCCCGAGCTCAGCCCCCAGCGTAAGCCCTGGGGCTCAGGACCACTTTCCCACTAGCCAAAACCTCAACTGTCGCAGGGGTATCTCCCCATCCAGCTTTGAAACTGCTCGGTGCGGTTTTGGATACTTACGTCTCTCTACCTGGAACCCTCTAATTCACACGAAGGGAACGAGAAAACCATGACCCTTCTTTTCCCACTAATTTCTTTAAAATGCTATGACTTCTTAAAGTACTTTCAGAAAAAAAAATAAGACACTATTTAAACTGTTTCAGCAAACAAGAACCCTGCAAAGAGCCCGAGGGTCCCTTTTTACAGGATCCATGCTGTGTTCGATTGATAAATCATGCAAGTGTGAACGCAAACATGCCCAAAGAACACAGCAACATGACCACTCCCCGCCGCTGCAGTGGCGACCACCGCCAGCAGCCCTCGAGGCCACCACCACCACCAAGTTGAGATTTAAAAAGTTAAGTGTTAACTGCTCTGTGAATGGCTAGGTTTTTGATGAAGTTGTTCAGGATTCCACTAAATGGTTCAATGAGCACATAAAACTTTCCGTGATTAGGCTATACTCTCTGAGAGGGGACAGCAGCCCCAAGTGCATCCACGTCCAAGTGGAAAAGATAATCAATGATCAACTTGGCAAAGTTCAACTTTAACTTAGAAAGCATCCTGTATAATGACTAAGCATGTATCTTAAGTATCATGTAAGAAATCAGTATTTTCTTTCATAGCAATTTCCAAAAGTAACCTTATAAAATGAGAACAGTGAAAAAAAAATGAATTTCCCATTTTAATTTCCTATCAGTTGTCACAGCAAAAAGTACAGTAGAGTGACTTTCAGTTCTGTAATAGCAGCAAACCCTGCCCTGAATTCTAGATCTACTACGAATCTTTTTTAGGAGATACTTAGTTTTACAAGGATGTTACTGAGATCAAATTAGAAAAAAGAGACCCAGAATAGCTATAAACATTTTACCACTTACACCAGCTCAGCTCAATTTGACAAAATAATCAAAATAAGAAAATATTCCCATTAAGAAATCTGTAGGTTTTCTGTCTTCCCAAAACAGACCCTACTTGAAACTAAATAAACTGAGAATATAAATGTTGAAAGATGTGAATATTCTCTGGATTAAGGACGATTACCATTATTTAGTTAGGCTCAAATTTATCATTTGTAACAAATCAATGTTTTCAGTGTTCAAAAGCAGAAAGTCTTTTTGTCAGAAATACCAGTTATACCACACCTTCAATATTATATCTGATACTAAAAGAGATATAATTTTTTTACAGTGGTATCACTGTAATAATCACAATTCAGTTCCTTTTGTGTTTTTTACAGAGTAAAAGAAAATTATCTATTCAAGGTATCCAGGTCACTCGCTTTACTTAAAATTTCTACCAATAAGCCAACAAGTTAAAAGCAGTATTAGCTACAGACATACTTTTATTAAATAACTTCACCATTACTTTTAAGGCCAGTTCTGAAAATGTGATCTTTGTGTCCCACTTTTGAGAAATACACAAGCTTGTAATAAAAATAACGCCTAACAATTCTCCCTCACACCACATCCAAAATTTAAAAAAAAAAGAAAAAAAAGATGGCTTTTTCGACCAAATTCTTATGTCCTCAAATACATCCTTTAGATTTCCAGCCAAAGGCCTAGTCATTGGGAAAAAAAAATTAATCTGTAAAGTCCAACATTTACATACTTCTTGAGGGGAGAGCATTCCTATCCCTACAACCTCAAGTTCAATGAAGTCGGTGGCCTTCTTTATCCCCCTACAGGTCTTGGATCTCAACATTTAGAATAGTTCTCAGTTTACAGGCAGGCGGGTCAGAGGGTGAACTTTACTTCCTTTTCTTTCCTCCTTGGCGTTGCCCTCCTTTCCTCTTGCTACCCAAGCCAGGTGCCCGGGAATTCATCTTGCTTCCCAAGCTTCCTTTACTCTTCCCCCTCAGGCTGGGTGGACCCCCTTTCCTCTTGCCTGCAGGCTCCTGCCGGTGCCCCCTTCTCTTGCCCTTTTGGCTCATTTTCCTCCTCTTGGCAGCCTCTTCCTGGTCCTCTTCCCTCATCTGCTTATTGGTGGCCCTTGTCACGTCCAGCTGAGGTTTTTTGCTGTTCATGACTCGTAGCATCTCCAACTGGCTCTTTTTCTCCGCTGCAAAGTCCCCAAAAAGGGGCTGAAACTTTCTTTTCTTGCCGGAGCCCCGGGGTGCCTTCTCCTTGGGCAGGCGCTCCTGGAAGCGCCCCACAGAAGCAGTGGAGACCTTGGCCACTTGCAAGGCGCGGCCCAGCTCCTCCTTACTCTGGTGTCCGGTAGGGTGCATACCGGCCGAGCTGGGCAGCTGCATCTTGTGCGCACGGGCTAAGTTACGTAGCCGGTTCAGCTCGTTCTTGGCCACTCGTTCCTTTTTAGCCTGAATCCGCTTGGCAAACTGGTCTTCCATGGGGTCGGCATTGCCCGGCACTTCGATCAACCACTCCTTAGTGTCGTCGCGGGCGCGCTGGTATCCCCAGCGGCGCCGCCACTGGCCACTCACCTCGTCCCACACCAAGTTGGTTTTCTTCTTGGGACGGATGCCCTTAAGTCGCGCGAACTGCTGCCAGCGTGTCAGGGGCCGCGGCCGGGGAACTGGCTTCTCGCGCGGCAGGCGAGTGGTGGGTTCCGGCAGCTGCGCCACCACCGCCTCCTCCACGCGCTCCGTCGGCAGCTGCCACAGCTGGTTTATGAGCAGCTGCGTGTTGTCCCGCGCCAAAGCCCTCAGCTCGGCCTCCGGCGGGGGTCCCCCGCGTCGCAGGCCTGTTGGGGGGTTCCGGTCCGAAGCCAGTAGGTTACCCAGATCGAACTCCAGTTCCAGCTCTTTGTGGACCGTGATGCGCTGCAGCTTCTCCGCTTCATCCTGCTCCGCCTTTGCCAGCAGCTCCTCTACGCTCTGGCCCTCCATAGCTCCGGCTTTGCTCACTAGGTCCGGGAAGACAGTTTAAATTACTTCTCCGCCAGTACCGGTTCGGGGGAAACACAACCACGTGTGAGCATTCACCGGCGCAGCCCGGAAAAGAAAACTTCACTTCCGGAGCAACCGGAACTGTCCCGTAACCGTCAACTGGAAAAGAGGCCGGCAGAGGGCGGTGTTGGAGAGCAGATAGTATTTGAAGCGGCCCTTCGGCTCGAGCTGGGCTGGACGTAGAACTGGCGCGAGGAGATCCTTGTAAGAATAGCAGAGTCTAAAATGAGACTGCGTCTCTCACGAGGCGGCGGCGTAGGTGGGCGGCGCAAGTTCCTAGGGCTACGTGTTGCGGGGTTCCGGAAAGACTGTCACAAAGTGAGAATGTGTTCGCGAGGTGTTTAGACAGCCCTTTTTGGGGTTGGACAAGTTATAGTTCACCAGAACACTGACCCGTGCGTGGTGACGGGGGCGGTGGTTCCTGGGTGTGGGTCTAGAAAGACTCTTTCCACAGATAGGTGAAGCTAAGTGTAAGAGACTTGGTTTGCTTTGGGCGTCAGCGGGGCTTACAAACCGCCCTGAGTGGCGTGCACCCACCGCAGATTCCCGAGCGCTCGTAGCCCGGAGTCCCGGCTGCCTCCTCTCTTGACTTGTTGCAAAAGAGCGCCCGGTCCTGCAGTTGGACTGCCTGGATTCCAGTCCCGAGAGTGCCACTGTTTGACCTTCAGCTTTAACTTATTTGGGCCTATTTTAAAACCTGTAGCCTTCCAGGTTTAAAGATATAAAGATAGACGAGCTAAAATACCCCAAGGGAGTTTAGCCTAGAGTCTGGAACTTGTGTTACATACAAGGTATTAGTTAACCTTCGTTAAAAGCTCCAGGAGCTAGGCTGAAGAGGCAGTCTTACACGATGTGAACTGTTTAAGAACCTTAAACACCAGGTTCTTGAGTCAGACAACCTAGAAACAGATCCAGATGTCCTGTACCTAACTTGGACAGGTTGTTTAACGGAAGTTCTATTTATAAGGTGATAAATACGGTACAGTTTATGGTACATGGTAAGCGCTCAATAAGTCTTAGCTGTTGTTACTCAGCATATTACTCTGATGACAAAGGAAGACTCAGAGAGGTAAAGTGACTTGTCGAATGTTACAGAACTAGGAAATCCCGAAGCAGGAAGAAGCTTACAGCTTTACCACTCCTTATGTATTCTCTGTAAAATGTCTTCTAGGCTCTTGATACCTTACAAGTATAGTTTCTGGACCAGAATCAATAGCCCCAGCTGGGAGTTTGTTAGAAATGCAAAATTTCTGGCCTCACCCCAGAGGTAATAATTCAGAACCTTCGTTTTAACAAGCTCTCCAGGTGATGAGTATGTTCAGTTAAGTTGGGGAGGCACCGCTGCGTGTGGGTGAAAAGTTTTGTTTTCCTTTAAAAGGAGTTTGGGAGTAATAAGAGGGTGTTGGTTACACTGGAAAACTGACATATAGAAATGGACATAATAGCCATTAGGAAATAGACTCAGTTAAGCTTCTGCTACAGAAAGCTTTAGATATAACCCCATCTGTCACATCCATCCCCTGAGTTTGGTCTCTTTTTGAGTTCACTATCTTTCCTTAGCTATCTTTTGTTCATTCACTCATAAAATATTTGCTGAACACATTTTATACTTCAGGCATTGTATTGGAATCTTCTTTCTACCTCTTTTCTAAAAGCATTTTAGGATTTGCCAGGGTTTTTCTGAGCCTTTTCACCTGAACACTCAGCACCAGATCTTTAATACCAGTCATCCTCTGGACCAAGTCTTGGTCAATGGCCATGTTTGGTAATAACTTTTAACCTTAAAACTTTGGGGATTTGCTGTAGGAGAGAGTTAAGGACATTGGCAGCTACTCTGGACTTGGCTTAGCTTCTGATTCATACATACATTTAACAAACATTTGAATGCCTTCCGTGTGCTAGACAATAGATGCAAAGATAACTGAGACCTTATGGAACAGTGAAGAAAGAAAAGTAAAGAGAAATTTACCATATGGCATGATTGGACATTTAATAGGAAGTACAACTATGTAGGATTCATCTCCTCTATCAGTCTGGGTTGGGGTCCGGGGAAGAGAGATGTCAACAGGTGCTGAGTAGTATGCATTCTCGCTAGTTGAAAATGGTATTTGGTTTAAATCATACAAGTCAACTCTTAATTGAATTCTAGTTATTTTGTGCTCAGTGGTTTTTTAGGTCAGGTGGATTTTAATTTCCATGATGACTGGAGACTTATTTTTACTTCCACTTTGTTGAGCATAGTGCTGAATGTAAAATAGGTATTCAATACATGACGTTTGAAAGAATAAGCCTAGTAAACAGACTTTTCTTTTTTAAATTATATTTTATTGATTATGCTATTGTAGTTGTCCCAATTTTTCCCCCTTGGCGCCCCTCTACCCAGCACCCCCCAGTCCCTCAGGGAACCCTACACCTTTGTTCGTGTCCATGGGTCATGTTATAAGTTCTTTGGCTACTCCATTTCCTATACTGTACTTTATATCCCCATGCCTATTCTGTAACTACCTATTTGTACTTCTTAATCCTCTTACCTCACCACCCTTTCCCACCCCCATCTGGCAAGCATCAAAATGCTCTCCATATCCATGGTTGTCTCTATTCTTGTTTGCTTAGTTTGTATTTTAGATTCAGTTGTTGGTAGATATGTATTTAATGCTATTTTATTGTTAGTTTTGATCTTTTTCTTAAATAAGTCCCTTTAACATTTCATATCATAATGATTTGGTGATGATGAACTCCATTAGTTTTTTCTTGTCTGAGAAGCGATTTATCTGCCCTTTGATTCTAAATGATAACTTTGCTGGATAGAGCAATCTTGGCTGTCAGATCCAGCTTTTCATGACTTCGAATATTTCTTGCCAATCCCTTCTATTCTGCAAAGTTTCTTTTGAGAATTCAGCTGACAGTCTTACGGGAATTCCCCTGTAGGTCACTGACTGCTTTTCTCTTGCTGCTTTTAAGATTCCCTCAATTATCTTTAACATTTGGCATTTTAATTATGATATGTCTTGGAGTGGGTCTCTTCAAATCCATCTTTTTTGGAATTCTGTGTTTCCTGGACTTGCATGTCTATTTCCTTCATCAAATTAGAGAAGTTTTATTTTGTTATTTTTTTCAAATAGATTTCCAATTTATTGCTTTTTCTCTTCTCCTTCTGGCATCCCTATGATGAGAATGTTGGAATTCTTGAAGTTGTCCCAAAGGCTGTTTACACTATCCTCATTTTATGGATTCTTTTTTATTTTTGTTGTTTTGATTGGTTGTTTTTTGCTTCCTTATGTTTCAAATCAGCTTCATCCACTCTACTGTTGTTTCCTTATAAGTTGTTCTTTATTTTAATTAATGTATCTTTTATTTCTGTCTGGATCTTTTTTATGCTATTGAGGTCCTCAGTAAGTTCCTTGAACTCTGCATCTGATAGATTGCTTGTTTCTATTTTGTTTAGTTCTTTTTCAGGAGTTTTGATTTATTCTTTCATTTGGGGCATGTTTCTTTGTGTGCTCATTCTGACAGTCCTGCTGTGTTTTTTTTCTACATATTAGGAAGAGCTGCTATATCTCTCTGGCTTGGTAGTGTGGCCTAACGTAGTAGGTGTCCTGTAGGGTCCAGTGGCACAGCCTCCCCTATCACCCAAGCTTGGTAGTTGAGGTGTGCCCTTCATGTAGGCTGAGTACACTCTTCTCTTGTAGTTGAGACTTGATTGCTGTTGGCAGGTTAATAGGAGGGATTTACCCAGGCTAGTCAGCTACAAGGACTGGCTGTGACCACTGGCCACAAATCTCTGCCTGTTGTGGGTGATCAGCCGTGTAGGGGCAGGGTGGTGGTGCACTGATGTCTGTAGCTGTCCACTGGGTACACAGACTCTGGGGTTTTCCAGGTGGTGCAGGCCAAGATCAGCCCCAACCTGTGTTTTGCCCCATGGCCACTCTGCCTGAGCTATAAAGCATTCTGAGATGGCTGCTACTTGTAATGGGCTTTGACATTCCCAAGAGAAGCCAAGCTGTGAATGTAGGCTGGTTGCTGCTTAGTGCTGGGTATTGGGGCTAGGGGCTCACTGAGGCTGGCTGTTGCTTGTTTGAGAGAATTTACAAAGTTGTGAAGCATGAGACAAGAGCAGTCATTCATGTGGAAAAGCCTGTAAGTTGGGTAGGATGGAGTCTCTGGGGATTTCCAGGGCTGGGCAAACAGTGTTAGCCAAATTGATGGAAACTCAGGGATAGCACCAACCTGCCAGCTCTGTGGCTGTGTAGGGAGAAGGCTCAGAAAAGGGACAATGGCCTCTAGCTGCCCCTCTGTCCCTCAGCGATTGTTTAATGCCAGACACTTCAGTTTCTCCCTGTACACCATTGGTGCCTTTTAAGCTACTACCCTAGTGCTGGAACTCAGAGGGAGTGAGTCTATGTCCGAGCGTGGGTTCTTTGAGAGGAACTTTTTGAGACTCCAAAAGTTTCTTCCACCAATTCAACCCCCACTGGTTTTCACAGCCAGAAATTTTGGGGACTTATCTTCCTGGCACTGGAACCCTGGGCTGGGGGGCCTGTGAACCCTGGGATGGGGGGCCTGGTGTGAGGCTGGGACTCCTTACTCCTGAGATATTCCTCCCAAATTTTTATCCACCACATATGGATGATTGATCAACCCATTCCATGTCTGTGCCCCTCCTACCGGTCTGGATAGAGGTAATTTTTTTAATTCTGTAGTTGTCAGATTTCCATTCAACTTGATTTCCGACAGTTCTGAGTGATGGTTATTCTGTATTTTAGTTGTAATTTGATGGTGTTGTGTGAGTAGGCAAGCTGTGTTTACCTAGGCTGCCATCTTTACTGGAATCCTTGAGACTTTTCTTAATTATAAAAGGATTAATGTTAGCTGAGTTAGATTCTAGGTGAGCAAAACTGAGAAGATGGGGAATTGGAGCATCTGACTGAGGCAAGGAGGTAAGTGGTGGTCTCCAGCTTGCATTTGTGTCGTTAGGCAAGGCTGCAGTGTCAAGAAAAAGAAAACCTGCCAGTGATGTGCAAATGTATGTGAAATTATTTTAACAG